CATCGCCGATGCATCGCCGATGCTTTGGCGATGCGTTGGCGATGCGGCGCGATCCTTCGACCCCATCTACACCGACCCGATCTGGGAGGCCTCTATCAAGTTTGCAGAGGATTCCGAGCGATGTATGCAAGGCACCGTGGTCATCGAGAAGGCGGCGCTGACATATTCCTGGGGTGCTGGCGCTTGCGAATTGAGCACCTCCACAAATTTCTGCATTTTTTGAGATAGAACGAAGACAGCTGGGAGTGAAGGCGACCGTTGTGTTAAGGCCAGCGCGACCAAATAAGAGCCAACCGAAGGCCAGTTCGGAACACGCTACGATCAACATGCGACGTGAGCGAGTGTAGGTACCACTTAGTTGCTTCCTGATGCGAGGTTGGGCCCTCGATTTCTCTCCGCTGCGCCACGCGCCTCCTCCCACACTCCTCCCGCCTTCCTCCTCTCAGTAGGTATCGTTCATACTACCCCCATCCCCACCCCGCCACGGCATCTTAGCCCTATCACCCCAGCACCCCACCACCACAGTGGGGGAGGGGACAGGCAGGCCCCTCGAAACCCGAAGGGATCGGCCCGCAGTTCAGTCGCTGAACTAGAGGGCCGAATGGGTGTTCGGAAGGGGCCCGCAAGTTCATTTGGTCAGTCCGTGGTCGTTCCCCTGGCCCTCCTCGTGCATCCAGGCCCTGTGGATTCCAGGAAGGGGCTTCGTTCCTCATTCGGTGCTCCTTCTTTCAATAGCCTGACTGTATGTCCCCATCTAGGGGGGCAGCACGGCCAGAGGAGCCCAGGCCATGCCAGTGGGGATAGGGATCGGCGAAACGATGTTCATCCCCCCCTTCCCGCCGCTGCTGTGGTGCCGGCTCCACTGCTGCTGCGTTGTTTCCCCCCCTTCCACGCGCATCCTGCACCACAGGGATCTCCAGCGACGGTCTCGGAGGAGGAGAATGTATGGATGCCGCTACCCCATCCGTCGTTGCCACGGTAGGTACGAACGCACCCCTGGAGAGGTCTGGGGAAGAGGGGCATTGGCACATTGCTGTTCCCTCACGGACGGTTCAGCGGGTGCATCCGCATGGTCCCACCCCGATAATTTCGGCACGTCTCTTGCGTGGATCGTGCCGCACAGGACGCTCCAACTCGGGCCCCCGAATTCGCATGGTCCCACCCCGTTAATTTCGGCACGTCTCTTGCGTGGATCGTGCCGCACAGGACGCTCCAACTCAGGCCCCCGGGCTGAGCTCACACACACACACACACACACACACACACACACACACACACACACACACACACACGCACACACGCACACACGCACGCACGCACGCACGCACGCACGCACGCACGCACGCACGCACGCACGCACGCACACACACACACACACACACACACACACACACACACACTTCTCTCGCGCGCATCGTGCCCGATGAGTCCCACTTGGGAGCCCCGGGCACCTCCTCTCCCGAGATGCTCGCAGCATTCTGCGGAGGGGCCACGCCCTGCCAGCTGCATTAGTGCTGCCAGCCGCGCCGCCGCGAGGTTGTCGCTCGGATAGGCGCGCCTGCCTCGGTGTGATGCTCATGGCTCCGTGCCCCCCCTCCGCCCTCCGTGGGCCCCCAGCGCAGGACTCAGTAAAGGGGCCCTCCCTCTCCTGGACCCCCCTCCTCCGCCTCCTCCTCCTACGCCTCCTCCTCCTCCTCCTCCTCCTCTTCCTCCTCCTCCTCCTCCTCCTCCTCTCTCCGCAGGACTCAGTAAGTGTGGATGTCGGCATGGCGGAGTCGCTGGGCCCTCTCGTGAGCGCTACGGGCCTTCACTTGTGCTGCTCTTGCCCGCAGGGCTTGCCCCACGGAGGGGCCGGGGCGGTGGCCGGCGGCCAGGCGAGTCAGGGAAATCCTGCACGCGGTCGTCATGGCGGAAGGGCTCTCCCGCTCCCAGGGCGCGTTTGCTTTGTTTTCTTTGTGCATCTTAACACAGAGGTGTGACAAGTATGTGGGCTTCCAGTGTATACCACCACGAGGATCAATTGAGGGTGAATGCTTCATGTGAGGGTGTACCGCTTTACCTGGGAATCCAATGCATTCCCTTGCGACTTGATGTTGGTAAGTGCTACCTAATTGTCTCCTGGCTGTGGCCCACGACACGGGCAATCATTCTGATATCCTCACGCGTGTTCCCCCCAAATCTTGAGATGGGGCTCGTGTTTTAATGACTTAAACTGCTCTGACTTGTGGAACAGGAACACCTTCCTCCTCGTGCCCCCTGGACTCGCTAGTACTCCTTCATATCCAGACTCACTCACACTCAGACTCACTTATACCCAGATTCACTGACACTCAGACTCACTCGCCCTCAGACTCACTCACACTCAGACTCACCCACACTCAGATTCATTCGCCCTAAGACTCACTGACACTCAGACTCACTCACACTCAGACCCGCTCGCACTCAGACTCATTCACGCGCAGACTCGTTTGCACTACTCGCGCGCAGATTCACTTACACTTCGCCTACGATGGGGTGTATATACTTTTGCTCAGGTTTCATTTTCACTCGACCTCTTACCCACTCGCACTCAGACTCATAATTACGTATGTAGACTCACTCGAAGGGGATATCTCAGGCGGTTTGCTTGTTTGGAGGGCTTGACTGGGCCGCTTTCAGAGCAGATTGCGAGGATACCCCGCTCGAGGCGTTGGTTTCACTCACTTGTCGTTTCACTTACACGCGTTCTGTTGAGAGCCCCAATGCCACCGCCACAAAGCAGGCGTGGCGCTTGGGCACGCCAGGCGTGAACCGTCAGGGGATGTGACACTTGTCCGTGTGCGCCCAGATTGCGGGGATCCTTGATGCAGTTTGCCTGTCTTGGTGGCTGAGACATCTGGTTCCAAGGCAGACTGCAAGGAGGCCTCGGTCGAGGCGCCGATTCCACGCACATGTAGCCTCACTCGCGCACTCGCTCTTGAGGGCCCCGCTGCCACCGCGATGTAGCAAGCGTGGCACTTGCCCGTGCGCGGCCCGAAGGTGGGGTCCCAGGCGGGTTGCTTGGTTGGTGGCTTCGTCTGCCGTGCCTCCCGAGCAGATCGCGAGGATGGCTCGAGCGAGGCGCCGCTGTCACGCACGAGTAGCGTCGTCCACGCGCTCTCTGCCGAGAGCCCCGTGGCCAAAGCGATGCAGCAGCGGGGTGGCCGTTGCCGTTGGGCACCCCGGGGAGGAGCCGCCATGGCGTGTGACACCTGCGCCCGCTCGCGGCCGAATGTCGTGGGCGGTGTGCCTGTTTCTGGTGGCTTGGGCTCCGCTGCTTCCCGAGCAGCTTCCGTGGCTGCCCCGAGCCAGGCCCCGTCTCCACTCGCATGTCGACCAGCTCACGCACTCTCGGCTGCGTGGGCGCCACGACAAGTAAAGCAGGCAAGGAGAAGCCGCCCATGGGCACGACACTTGCCCGCTCGCGGCCATCTTGTCGGGAGGCCTTGGTCCTTCTTGCTGTTTGTTTGCTGGGATTTGCTTCCCTTTCAGAGCAGGTTGCGAGGATGTCTGGGTCTAGCACGCCTCGAGGGGGTAAGTTCGCGGTCCAGTTCGCGCCCCGATTGTGGGGACGTGTCGGGCGGTTTGCTTGTTTGGTGGCTTGGGCGTCTCTGCGTTGAAGAACAGAGCAGAGCTTGTGAGGCGCTCTCGGTCGAGGCGCTGGCTTCAGCACCCACACGGGGGGAACCGCCAGGGGAGTTGCACTCGCCCGCCTGCGGCCTGATTGCGGCGATGTCTCGTGCGGCGTGTTCGCTTCGTCAGGGGCTCCTTTTGCTTGAGGAGCAGGTCGTGAGGACGTCTCGGGCGAGGCGTTTGTTTTTAGCGCTGCAGGGCGGAGCCGCCGTGGGGGCTTGCACACCGCCCGCTTGCGGCCAGAATGTGGGGACGTCTCAACTGAACCGCCTGTTCGTCGGCATCGTTTAACCAATCCCCATCCCCATCCCCATCCTTTTCGAGACCCCCACAAAATTACCACCCCAGTTGGGCCTACACCCTTCGAAAGCCGCAGGGAACGACCCAGATCCCCATCCGGGGGCAGCAAATCGGCCCGTGGGGCCCAGGCCACGCCGCTGGGGATGAGGATCGGTGAAACGATACTCAGTTTGGGCACCCCCAAGATCCTATCTTCTCAGAACCCCATGAGCACCCCGACGTAGCAGGCAAGCCCTCCGGGCACCCCAGGGGGGTGGGGGGAACTGCCAGGGAGCGGTTGGTCGCCACGGGCTAAGACTCTCACACTCAGACACTCAACAGCGGGACGTGCCAGGATGTCACGTTCAAATGTTGGGTTTTCTGGCGCGCATAAGATAAGCAACATGTCGATATACCTGAGTATATATATATATGTATATGTATATGTATATGCATATATATATGCATGTGTTTGTGTATAACTATGTACACATGTATGTACTGAGGACTGCTCTTCTGATCTAACGTTCTTCTTGTATTTGCGTCACTCTGCTATCCTATGGTTTGTCTGTCGCTCATCTCAATGGTTGCATGCACCCCTATCCGCATGCTTCATTTCTCTCCTGTCGCGTTTCTGCTGGACCGCGTTGCCCACTGTCCGAACCTGAATGTGCAGATTCTTTATTATATCAATGTGTCTCCTTGTGTTCTCCCGATTGTGATGGATCGCAGGAGTGGCCGTCAGCCTACGGATTACCACAGCGTTTTGAATTCGAATTGGCTTTCGACGCACATCCATCAGTTCATTGTTGACCAAGTTGTTTTCCTTCCTTCCTCGCCCTGGGTCTTCAGGTGGAGGAGGAGGAGGAAATTGATGAGGAAGATTAGGATGAGGACAATGAGTTTGATGATGATAAGTAGCTGGAGGAGCAGGGAGAAGGAGCAGAGGAGGACGAGGAGGCGGAGGAGCAGGAGCAGGAAGATGACGACGACGGCGAATTCGAGGAGAAGTCCAGACGGACCTTAAAAGCTTAGTGATTTCCCACGGGACCTTCGTATTTTTGTTTGTCGCGTTGTTCCCATCCAGTCGAATGTTCGCAGCGCATTTTTGGTTTTTGCGAGGGTTTTGATGTGGTGTAAAGCGTCTGATCCTACACTGGTCGTCAAGGTGTCCAGCATCGGCCATCAGCTCCGATTTCGTCTTCCCCGTTCTCCACCGCAGCCGTTTTGGATACTCATGCGTGGCCTTCGCATCGAACCCCCTTGGAAGAGATCTGCGGGTCGATTCTTAGCGTGTAGGGTACGATTGAATACGTTAAGCTTGAACGGATTGGCACATCGATTATTCTTGTGCGGCCTTCAAGCGGTTTTTGTGCCCGGCTCGGAAAAGGGAGCGACGAAGAAGACACTGGAACACATTGGGGGAGCAGAGATGTTTCGTCTTACTTGTAAAGGTCGTCTTTTTTTGTAAACCAAGAGACACATTCAAGCTGGAAGCCAGAGAGACTTTGCATACACGCCGGTCGTTGAAAGTAGGTATTTCTACTCCCAGATCCCAATCTACTTTCAGCGCCTTTCTATTTCAAGAACTGCTATGTTTGTCTGTCTTTGGTGGGCTGGCGCAACCCTAATCTACATCTTGGGTTTGGCAGTCCCTTCCCCAGGTGATTGCTGGTACACCCACGGCGGTCAATAAGAAAGTTGATTTTTCGTTTTAGCCCCTGCCAGTTTCGTATGGCACGGCGTGTTTGGGCATTTCAGCGGCTTGCAACTTCTTCTGCCCTCGGTTTCTTGTCCCATGGTCGCGCAATAGATTATGGTTGCCCCCTTCGGGCTGATTTTCGTGATTCGGGCTTGTTTTCGCTTGCCCGTCGGTTGCATTGGTCTTCGGTTGCCCCTTCCTGGCTGGTTTTCGTTATTTTTCGGTTGTCCGTCGGTTGTCCGCCGGTTGCTGTGGTCGCGCCTGGCCCTCGGCTGACCCTCGGTCGCTCGGTCTCTCGTCTGCCCCTTCCTGGCTGGTTTATTCATCGGTCGTCCGTCGGTCACTGTGGTCGCGCCTGGCCCTCGGCTAGCTCTCGGTGGCTCGGTCTCTCGTCTGCTCCTTCCTTGCTGGTTTTGGTTACTTTTCGGTTGTCCGTCGGTTGTCCGTCGGTCGTTGTGGTCGCGCCTGGCCCTCGGCTGGCCCTCGGTCGCTCGGTCTCTCGTCTGCCCCTTCCTGGCTGGCTTTGGTCATGTATCGGTCGTCCGTCGGTTGCTGTGGTCGCGCCTGGCCCTCGGCTGGCCCTCGGTCCCTCGGTCTCTCCTCTGCCCCTCTCTGGCTGCTCTTGGTTATTTTTCGGTTGTCCGTCGGTTGTCCGTCGGTCGCTGTGGTCGCGCCTGGCCCTCGGCTGGCTCTCGGTCGCTCGGTTTCTCCTCTGCCCCTTGCTGGCTGGTTTTGGTTATTGTTCGCTTGTCCGTCGGTTGTCCAACGGTGGCGGTGGTCTCGCCTGGCTGTCGGCGGGCCCTCGGTCGCTCGGTCTCATGTCTGCCCCTTGCTGGCTGGTTTGAGTCATTATTCGCATTATTCGGTTGACCGTCGGCTGTCCGTCGACTGCTATGGTTGCGCATGGCCCTCGGCTGGCGCTCGGTCGCTCGGTCTCTCGTCTGCCCCTTCCTGGCTGGTTTGGGTTATTTTTCGGTTGTCCGTCGGTTGTCCGTCGGTTGCTGTGTACGCGCCTGGCCCTCGTCTGGCCCTCGTCTGGCCCTCGGTCGCTCGGTCTCTCGTCTGCCCCTTCCTGGCTGGTTTGGGTTATCTCTCGGTTGTCCGTCGGTTGTCCGTCGGTTGCTGTGGTCGCGTTTGGCCCTCGGCTGTCCCTCGGTCGTTCTGTCTGTCGTCTGCCCCTTCCTGGCTGGCTGTCGTCATTTTTTTGGTTGTCCATCGGTTGTCCGTCAGTCGCTGTGGCCCACGGTCGCTCGATGTCTCGTCTGCCCCGTCCTGGCTGGATTCTGGTTATTTGTCGGTTGTCCGTCGGTTGTCCGTCGGGTGCTGTGGTCGCGCCTGGCCCTCGGCTGGCCCTCGGTCGTTTGGTTTTTCGTCTGCCCTGTCCTGGCTGATTTTTGTTTTTGATTCGGTTGCCCGTCGGTGTCCGTCGGTTGCTGTGGTCGCGCGCGGCCCTCGGCTGGCCCTCGGTCGTTCGGTCTCTCGTGTGCCCCTCCCTGGCTATTGTTTGTGTATGTTTCCGTTGTCCGTCGGTTGCTCTTCGGTTCCTGTGGTCGCGCCTGGCCCTCAGCTGGCGATCGATCGCTCGGCCTCTCGTCTGCCCCTTCCTGTCTGGTTCTGGTAATGTTTTGGTTGTCCGTCGGTTGTCCGTCGGCTGCTGTTGTCGCGCTTGGCTCTCGGCTGGCACTCGGTCGCTCGGTCTTTCGTCTGCCCCTTCCCGGCTGGTGTTGGTTCTCTTTCGGTTGTCCGTCGGGTGTCCGTCGGTTGTTGTGGTCGCGCCTGGCCCTCGGCTGGCCCTCGGTCCCTCGGACTCTCGTCTGCTCCTTTTCTGCGTCGGTTATGCGTCGGTTATGCGTTTGGTTCTTTTTCGGTTATGCGTCGGTTGTCCGTCGGTTGTTGGGGTCGCGCCTGGCCCTCGGCTGGCCCTCGGTCGCTCGGTCTCTCGTCTGCCCCTTCCTGGCTGGTGTTGGTTCTGTTTCGGTTGTCCGTCGGTTGTCCGTCGGTTCCTGTGGTCGCGCCTGGCCCTCGTCTGGCCCTCGGTCGCTCGGTCTCTCGTCTGCCCCTTCCTGGCTGGTGTTGGTTCTTTTTCGGTTGTCCGTCGGTTGTCCGTCGGTTGCTGTGGTCGCGCCTCGCTTTCGGCTGGCCCTCGGTCGCTCGGTTCTCTCGTCTGCCCCTTCCTGACTGGTTTTGGTTATTTTTCGGTTGTGCGTCGGCTTTCCGTCGGTTGCTGTGGTCGCCCATTGCCCTCGGCTGGCCCTCGGTCGCTCGGTTTCTCGTCGGCTGGCCTTCGTTCGCTCGGTCTCTCGTCTCCCGAGATTCCGAGCGACCGTGGGCCAGCCGAGGGGCCAGGCACGACCAGAGCAACCGACGGACAACCGACGAACAACCAAAAATAGCCAGAATCAGCCAGGGAAGGGGCAGCCGATGGGCCGAGCGACTGAGGGCCAGCCGAGGGACCAGGCGCGACCAGAGCAATCGACGGACAACCGATGGACGACCCAGAACAACCAAAAGCAGCCGTGGGAGAGGCAGCCGAGGGGCTGAGCGACCGAGGGCCAGCCGAGGGCCAGGCGCGACCACGGATCACCGACGAACAACCGAGAACAATCAAATTCAGCGAGGGAAGGGGCGGCCGATGGGGCCGTGCGACCTTGGTCTGTTGTGCGCCGTTAAGAGAGGGCCCAAACATCGTAATTTATTTATTGTAAGCATCGCGGGTGTTTTTTGGGGGGCGGCTCCCGCCTTCGTACTTCATGTTTCTACCTACTTCTTCCGACCGTCTTGTAAGCATGCACTTCCTAGTTTCCTCGCTGATGTCCTGGATCTGCTCTGGACCCCCCCCCCGGCAGCGCCTCCAGCGCCTGGCGCGCGGAGGGGTGTTCAGAACAGACCCAAGAAATCCGCGCGGATCTCCACAAGTGTATGTGTATGCGTTTATTGCTTCTTCCGTGCCCAGAATGTATTATCGTGTCGGTCGACCCTCGTCCTCTCAAACGGCCTCAGCTTCTTCCTTCGGCCAGCACGTTGCTCGTCTACAGTCTCTGCCCCACTCGTGCAGTGTTCCCCTTGAAGCGTTGCTGAGATCTGCCCCCCAGGTTCTCTGGACTCTACAGGGGCTTCCTGCCAATGATCTACCAGACCCTGCTTCACAACTCGATGATGACTCTGCTGAATTACCAGATGCGGCCATGGAGGCCTTTATTTGACATGTCCCTACCAATTGGCTTGAAATGTGTCTACGCTTTTTCTCTGGGGGAAGATGATGCTCATTGACCCCTCGACTTGGCATCCCACGACCGCAGCATTACATCAACATAGGTAAGCAAAGAGCTGGGTATACATGATCTCGCTCGTTCTTGTCGGACTTGAGGTCGGCGAGCTCCATGAATCGTTCAAGCTCAGAATTGGCTTGAGTCTCCCGCTGCATTGGTTTTCGGATCTTCTGTTCTTCATTGGGATGGGTGCGAGATCTAGACCCCTGACGTCCTTATCATTTGTTCGAAATTCGATCCATTCCATGGGACCCGTTTCCACGCTGAGTCATTGTTCGACGGTTTTTGCGCCAAGCCCAAAATTCAAGAAATTGTTGAAACATATGTGCAGTCGCATTTTTCAGGAGGTCCATTGGTTCTGAAACGGGCGCGATGTTCCTCGGGCCCTTCTGTGGATCTTCCCCTGGCCTTCCTCATGCGCCTTGGCGCAGTTGAGGCCCCCAAAGGGATTTCGTTACTTACTTCATGGTCGACCTTTGGGGCGATAGGATCCGGGGGGTGCATCGACCCCCGAGCGCCAATTGATCGCAGATAGGGGCCCGATAGCACACCCCGCCCAAGAACATGCGTGTTTGATGCCGGGAGCCCACTGCCGTTACAGCGGCGATGTATCGCCGAGTCGGGCTCCACGTTCCCACCCCCTCCGAGCTGGCCCCCCCTCCTAACGATGCCCCCCACTCCCCGCGAGGCTCCTTGTGGCAAAGCCTTGGCTGTACGAGCAGCGACCAGGTTGGGGCATCTCGCAGCCCGCACACCGCACCTGCAGGCCGCAGGACGCCAGCGGCGGCGATACTGGCGATGCTCCCTGCGCTCCCCTGGCGCGCTCCCCTGCTCTGCCTTGGCGGAGGCGGTCACCACCCACCAAACCACCCCAGCCCAAATCGAAGGCCTCAGTTTGCTCTCCAGTTCCAGTGGGGGGGTGGTTCCAGGGACCGCGAAACAAACACAGATGGAGCGCATGCCCCCCACCCCCATCCCGAAATTCGGCTCTTCGGGTTGGGTTGGGGTGGTCTGGTAGGTAGTCAGGCGGTGCTGATGGGGCTTTTTTCCACCACGACCACCATAAGTTGGAGAGGGAGGGGCTCCTCCTCCTCCTCCTCCTCCTCCTCCTCCTCCTCCTCCTCTTCCTCCTCCTCAGCCCCCGCCAATGAACAGGATGCGAGGCCGCATGTGGGGGCCCCAACCCCCACACTGCCAGGCGCCGCGCCGCGCCGCGGACGATGGCGGCTGCGCAGGCGTCCAGGCCCCACGCTGGCAGGTCCGCGAGAGTGCTGCCACTTCTCGTGGGGGTCTTCAGCCCGCTGTCCGCGGCCCAAGCCCCCCCCAGGCTATTCACATGGACTCCAGCCAGGCGCAATGGGAAGACTGGTTATTGATTATGGTTGGCCGGGGTCAAAGAGTGTATACAAATCATTCAGCTGGATGCAGGCTCGTGTGGGGAAGGCGTGTTTTTAAAGACCGCTGCCGCAGGGTATTTCCAACGCCAGCTCCGCTCCAAGGGCGAGTATTGCCTGCGAGGTGCAAGAACGGCTTGATGGACCTGACTGCAACCGCGATTTCGTACGCACCACGTCCGACGACGGCCAAGGCTGGCGCCCACTACACGGAGAACTGCATGCGCATGACACAATGGCTTGGTCAGACGCTTCTCAACGCACCGCATTCGTCTTTGCCGCTTATACTGGCAGACTTGAACGACGGCATTGGTATTGGATGTGTGGCTACAGCGGGCTTTGTCGGAGAGGCAGTTATTGGCGAGAAGAACGCGACGAAGGAGTTCACGAAGGGTGCGGGCGAGAACATCAGGGAAGTTCTTCGGAGGCATCACGTGACAGTGTGCAACGGCAGTTTAAATCCAACGTGGTTTGGCGACGGGGGCGAAGCTGCTCGCTTGGACTACATCATTGACCCGCTCTCGTGGAAAGACGCTGTGCAGAAGTGCGCGCCGTTGCTGAAGCTGGGCAGACGACTACAACGCATTCGAGAATGGGAGCTGCGAGACCACGCCCCTGTGCATGCGCGTTTGTCATATGACAGATCGGCCACTTGCAATGATAGCGAGCATGAGCGCAGCCGAGAGAAATTTGACATCGATTATTCAGTCCACGCCCTTCGGCCCGGAGATCGCAAGCACGAGTCTTTGACACAGTTAAACGAGCTTCCACGCAATAACATGGAGGAATGGGCCCAGCTGTGCCTGCAGAAGGCGCCTGGTGTCATCTTTGTCTATCTGGAGCAGAACATGGTCAGAACTGGGCTGGGCCTTTTCCCCACGCCCCGCTTTGTCAACAAATCCTACAAAGCTCTCAGAAAAGGCTCGTTTGCCGATTTTGCTGCAGAGGCGCGATTTACGGGAGGCCACGTGGGCAACGGGTGTGACAAGTGAAGATGTGCAAGCACGGCCCCAAGCCATCTCGAAGGCATGCGGGATAACCAGAAGCTGGGCGCGAAAGCAGACCAGGGCAGCCATCGAGGAGGAGGTCAACGAGCATTGGACGGCCTGGAGATTTCCTCAGGCGCACCGCGCGACGATCAGACTGGGGAACAACAGGACGGGCGCAAAACGACGAGACCTTCGAGCCCCCCCCCCCCCCGTGAACCCAACGAAGCAGTAGTGGATGGAGGCGCTCGAGAAGACGTTCGAAGATGGAGGTGCGGGCGCAGTTGGGATTGCACCCAATCCACGAGGACAGGGGGAAAAAGCTTGAAGGTGCAGAAATCCCAGACAAGTTGCCTAATATCCCAGATCTCATGGCAACGCATGGAGGAAGGCGCGGGCGCGCCTATGTTTCAAGATGATCACGCCACAGATGCCTCTCTCGAAAGTAGGAGAGATATGAAGCGGCTGGGGTGGTATCTGGTACAGACCCCGAAGAGGCAGGCGTGCCCGTCGCGCTCGCCCCCCGCTGAGCTTCTCTGGGTGGCGCTGCGCCCCGCGCGAGATGCCTTGGCACAGGGGAGTTGGCTCCGCTCTGCAAGACGCGGACAACGGCTTCATCGAGGCTCGCCTGCGCATGGTTTTTTACCACATGCGATATCCCCAGGTGACCCCGCTGAACCCGCATACTGCTCAGTGCCATGCGGCGAGAAAAAACGAACAACCCGGGCCCGAAGGGCGGCGACTTCAACGCATTCTTCGCGTTTTGGGCAAAGGTTTCTTTGCAATTGCATCAGCGCGCGTCGCCCACCACCCTTCCCCGCAGAGCATTGCGGACGCGCGCGAGGGGGGGCGCCGAGGGTCTGCTTTCAGGGCTGCAACGATCACGGGCTACTCTCAGCCAGAATGAAGTGCTGGTACGTTGGCAGCTTCAAGGACATGACCAACGCTTTCCCACCAGTTGGCTTGCAGCATATGGAGGGGCGGCTTCTGCTTTGGTACGGGACAAAGATTTGCAACTGGCGCATGCTCCAGTTTCGGTCGGCGGAGGGAGGCCTCATGGGGTGCCCTTTGACGGCGCGCTGCTCCCCCCCGAGCCTGAACTCCACCCTTGGAGCCATGGACGACGCAGTGGCGCAGAACGGATGATGCTGACGAGCTGCTGGTGGTCAAGTGTCCGATCATTAGACGCGAAGTGGATCTCAGTCTGCACTTGCGCGCCAGCGGGCGCGAACAGAGGATGTAAATCTGGACAGGGCGATGGGGCGAGTTGCAGGGCTCCGGCGAGCTCGCGGGCGAGCAGCTGCTCGAGATCAGACTGGGTCAGAACAAACCAAAGCAGGTCAACAGCATGGCTCCGCATGTCATTGGAAGTGGAATGGCGTAAAGGGATTTACGGCGACGGGAACAGCAGAACAAATGGGAAAGACAGGTAGTGGATCAAGCACGCTACCTGGGACCCATTCCCACGCGTGCCCAGAGCTTCTGCATCGAGCTCGCGAAGAGGATCTCCGCGGCCAAGGCAGCATTCTTGTCAATGGGATTTTTCTGGAGTGCCAAGCGTGCACCGTGGAGATGGCGATGGGCTGTGCTGATTGGAAGTGTTGTTAACGCTGCGCTCACCGTAGAGGGGGCGTTTTTACCCGCGCGCAAGCAGTGCGGCACGCTCGACGGGGTGATTGCTTCCTTGGCTCGTATTGCTATGCGAGGTGCAGCCCGCGCACGCAAGGAGGAGGACTGCGCGGTGCGCTCGCTGACGAACAAGGAGGTCTTGGCACATTGGAAGATTCCCAGGTCGGAAGTTGAGTTGCGGGTCATAAGGTTGAAGTGGCTACAGCAGGCGGCGAAAGACAGGGGCGACAACGTCGATTTCTTCGGGGCCTTTTTTCGGCACCATCAGCGGCCAGCAGTAGTGCGCGGTGGCCGACGATGACTCCATCTCGGCGCTGGGCCGCCCTTGGGCAAAGCGGGCACAAAGAGACGTTGACTCGCCCATCTGGGTCTCCGGCGAGGCCTTTGGGCTGCAAGAGATTGCTGGCCCACGTGTCGCGGCCTGGCTGAAAGGCCCGCTGACTCGGGGGGGCGATGTCAACATCCTCCGTGCAAGCGAATTCAGCAAAAACGTACCGCCCCCAACGCACAGTCTGTGTTTGCCCCCAAGGACAAGCAAAAAGAGGTGGACCCCGCATTCGGTTTCGACGGGGAGGAGAAGGTGAATCACGAGGTGGAGGAGGAGTTTTTAAGTGCCAGGTGGACGTGGGAGGGAGAACGAGTGGTCGAGTCTTTAATTCGAAACGGGCCCTTCGTACGTACTTTTGACAAGTACGCAGCATCGTCAACAGTTGCTCGTTCTTCAACCCGACGAACGTCTGCATCGCGTGTGAAACAGTCTTCGCCACAGAGGTCGCAGCACGTCGGCGCTTAGCTTGCTCTGTTCAGAGAGGATATTGCGCGGCCGACCTCGCTCGTGCACTCGCCCTAGCACAAGAGCCCTGAACATGGCATTGTCCTGGATGTGACTATGTAGCTGGGTCTTGGCACGAGCTTCGAGGCCATCTCGCTGCCCATCTGCCTGTCATACGCGATATTCGGGCGCCCGCCACTGCGGGCAAGAACATTCCATGTGGCTGCCGAAGTGGACGACGAGGCGGATGATGGAGGCGGGCATCGAGCAGGTCCGCCGGGGACTGCCGAACAACGAGAGGCCCGCGGCAGGAGCGAGTGCCTCGGGCGCCAAGAAAGCAAAAGCACATGAGCTGGTGGGGCAGGCCAAAGGAGCTGCAGACAAAGGCGCCACCAAATCTCAAGTCGCCCAGCAAATCGTGCTCATTCTCGCCAAGCTCGTGCTCAGCATGGCGGGGTACCTCAGGTCGGTCACCAGCGCGGTCTTCGTCGCGGCGATCATCCCGAGCACGGCCACCTGCGTCGAGGCGGCCATCCGGGCGGGCAAGGGCCACCGCAAAGCCGCGATGGACCGAAAGGAAAAAGCAAGGGGGGGCGATGCGGTGGACACAGCGAAGTTGGGCAGCCCACATCTACACATCTGGAAGGATTTCATCAGGGCGCTCCTCGCGAGTACCGAGGCAGGCCAAGCGAGAGACACGCTGACCAAGTACTGGGCCGAGAACATCATGAAGTATGACCACGTGGGCGCGGCGACGGACATCAAGCACTTCAGGGCGAGGGTGCCGTAGGGTGCCGTCCACGCGCGTGGAGAGCAAGGTACGCTTGCAGAGGGCACTTTCGACGACGAACAGGAGCTCGACGGTGCCATTCGCGCGGAGATCGCCAGGCACGGAGGGGAGATCCCGGTGGGGGCAGCCCCACGAGGGGCCTTGGAGAGGGACGCGAGAGCGCTCTTGAACAAGCTAGAGCCCAACTAGGCGAAGCCGAACGGAGGAGGATGAGTAGCCTAGCGGGCGGTCAGCGTCTGAATTAGCTGGTTTCTGAATCAGCACTCCTGGTTTCTGGTTTCTGAATTAACTAGGCGAAGCCGAACGGAGCAGGATGAGTAGAGAAGCTGTCCTCGCCTCTTTCACCTCCTCCCTTTCTGAATCAGCACTGGGGGATCCCAGGGGCCGTTTCATCCCGACAGTTAGAATTCAGCCGCGTCCTAAGGGACGGGCCAAACGTAAAGGTAGGGGGAGACAAAGCGTCCCCTTGAGCAAGGGAGAGGCTCGGGGCCGCCTCGTCCCTAGCCCTACGGTGCGGCATGCCGTGGGGGGCCCTGAGTTATAGGGTGAGGCGCTGGTTGCCTCAAGTGTCTCGGGGAAACTATCGTGTGGGCCGCCACCCTTGCGCCCAGTGCTCATACCCTGTGGGCTGCCAGGGGGCCAGAGTGTTTTCCACCAGTGCCAGTGTGTAGCAGAGTTGCAGCCATTCAGGCATGCCGCCCAGCGAATACTAAGGTGGTAGTCGGACCACACGTACTTTCGTTCGCCCAGGGAAGTCAGTCAGTCAGTCTCCTCGTCCTCCTCCTTCTCCTCCTCCTCCTCCTCCTCCTCCTCTTCCTCCTCCTCCCACCTCCTCCTCCTCCCCGCCTCCAACTTATGGTGGTGGTGGTGGTGGAAAACGGCCCCATCACTGGGGGTCCCTAGCGAGCTGCCCCTGCGTTCCCAGAGGCCGGCGCGGGGCTCCGAGCGAGGGTGCCGTGCAGTCAAGACGCGGCAGCGAGGGGAGCCTCGGGTTCCAGGGCGGCGGGCTGGCCTTCGGGCCGTGCCCCAGAAACAGACCAGGGGCGCCCTCGAGGGCGCGAATTATTCGTGCTTCGCGGTTGGGTTCCGAGTCCTCCTCATCCTCGTTTTCTCCCGTGGGAGGCGGCGCGAGAGCGCGAAGTTGTTCGCACTTCGCGCTTCGCGCAGCGCGAAACGCGAAGTTGGGAGTCCTTGGGGCGGCGGGGTTGCCTTCGGGCCGCGCCCCAGATCCAGACCGGGCAGCCGCCTCGTGGCCGGGGCTCGCCTCCAGTCGACTAGACGTGAGAGTGACCTTTCGCCGGAGTGACCTTTGGTGCGGGCGCAGATGGGTTCCCAGATGGTTCAAAACGAAGCAGGAGCAACGGCTTGCGCGCCCAGGTTTGGTCCCCCCGCGGCCCACAAAAAGCCGCGCAACGAAGGTCACTGTTACCCAGGGTCACTCTTGCGTGTAGCCAACTCCAGGCCTCCCAGATGTGGCCGGAGCAGGAAAGGCCGGAGGATCGCGCCGCATGGCCGAGGCATCGGCGATGCGGCTCGATGCGGAGCCAGATAGATCTTATCCACGTCGACGTCGCCGATGCGTCCGCCGACGTCGCCGATGCATCGGCGATGCGGCACGATCACCCGACCCACCTGCCTGGACCCTGTCTGGGAGGCCCCTGTCGCCATGGCCAGAGAAGCTCCTTCGCTCCGTGCTTGGGGCTATCCGTCTGGTTCGCACGAGGGTCGTGCCCGCGCGCGCCCGGAGCCAGCGCGCGTGCCGGGATATGGGCGTGGCTGGGCCCCTGGCCGCCGGCGCGGCGAGGTCCTCCAGGGGGCATGCGGGGTGTGCGGAGTGATGGTGTCGGGTATAGCCAGGACCCCGAGTAAGGGGATCCGGTTGGCGGTAGGGCCCTGAGGCCCCTCAAGTGGCCAGATTCACTAAACCAGGTTTGCCGTAGCTGGTGTTTTTCGGGTGACGTCAGTTCCGGTTAGTGGAAATGGGGCGGGGGGGCGCCCCGGTACAAATCCTTAAACCAGGTTCCACTAAACCCAGTTCTGCCAACGACCGATGGTGGTTCAGCGGAGATTTCCGGCGGTCTGCGCGGACTCCTGGAACCTCGGTGGTTCAAAGATGGTGCTTGAGGCATGGGGTCCCAAGGACGAGGTGCCTCAAACAACGCAAGTCCACCCTTGCATCCCTTGCTATCCCTGGAACCCCCACCCCTCAGAAAGAGGTGTCTGAACCACGGAGAATCGGCGCCAGCCCCTTGTTTCCACACTCCACAGGGTTCGATCCGATCCGATTCAGCCCCTTGTTTCCAAAGCCCCTTGTTTCCACACTCCACAGCCCTTGTTTCCACAGCCCCTTGTTTCCACAGCCCCTTGTTTCCACAGGGTTTGTTCCACACTCCACAGCCCCTTGTTTCCACACTCCACACACCCCTTGTTTCCTTGATCCGATCGGTCCGATTCGAATCGGAACCTGGCCAGCCCGCTCTGATTCGTTCGTGCTGCCCCGGCGACCGTATGAGGCCCGATGTTCCCATCTTGGCGCCGCTGGCCCGACTCGACTCGTTGAGGAGGAGGAGGAGGAGGAGGAGGAGGAGGAGGAGGAGGAGGAGGAGGAGGAGGAGGAGGAGGAGTAAGACGAGGAGGAGGACGAGGAGTGAGACGAGGAGGAGGAGGAGGTGGAGGAGGAGGAGGAGGAGGAGGAGACGCCCCTTGCGGCCGCAGTCTGCCCACTCCGCGCGCTTCTGGGGCAGGTTTTTTTTGGGGGGTGTGGGGCCCGCCCCTGGCTTCCAAGATGGCCGCGCGGTCCCCCGGGGGGTCTTGGTCATCGGGGGTCGCCAGTTATACACCAACACTTATCCTGGCCTTCTATTGCTCCCATCGTACTTTCGGACCCAGTCCCAGAAATAATTTCGAGCACCCAGGAAAAGATCGGAAAAGTGCCGATCGAGTATCGCCTCCCAGGGCCCGACACGTGAACATCCTGAAGTTTCGGTATTGTCTAGGCTGCAAGTCTTTCTGGTGATCGAGGCTAAAGTAGGGAACATCATAATCCTGGCCAGGCCCATCCTGGGTCTCGGATCGGTGTAAACACCCGCCCGTCCCTGGCACGAGGGCCTATGAGCCCATCCTGGACTCACCATGGGCCTGCCGAGGGTCGGTGTGGGTGTACAGTTGGCGTCCTCCTGGGTTATGCCATCTGTTGCACTTCTCTGCTCGCCCCTGCTTGGGTCAAATCTGGCATGTCCCTCTACAGGAGGAAGGCTCCAACGGAATCCACAAATAGCCTCGGGACGCTTTTGGGGGGACTGTGTTTGACCATGTCTGATCTTTTTGTTCTGCTATTTTCGTCTCAAGTCCGCCTGTAGCAGGACATGCCCGACCTGCTGTTTGGGACGCCTTGCAGGATCTCGACGCCGCCGCCCTCGCCGCTCCCGGAGCACGCCGCCCACTGGCTGCTGCGGAAGATGCCCCGGCGCCGCGGCCTGACGCCCTTCGCCCGGGAGCCCTTCCCCGCCGACATCCTGGCGCCCGGGAGCCGCTCCCCGGCCTCTCAAACATCGAAGAGCTCGGGGGGCGGCAAAGAGGGGGGTGAGGACTAGAAGGGGGGGGGGGGGAGATCATGGCGTGGGCCATGACATCTCCCCAGATTTCACGGCGCCTCAGCTTATTTCATGACGTCCCTGGCTCCCCCCCTGGGCCGCGCACATGCCGCCGGTCATGATTTGAACCCCCCCCCTCTTGGACACGCCCCTCTTGGCCGCTCCCGAACAAACACGGCATGATTATGTTGGCCAGCGTGGATCCCAAGCAGTGCGTCATTTGCACTGGAAGTGAAAGTTGTGCGGCGTATGGTGGAGGCGGGAGCTATGCGGTGCAAGCTACGTGGTTAATGCCATGCCGTGCGAGCTACGTGGGGCTAGTTCGGGAGGTTGAAACAAGGTGGTGCAAGCTGTGTGGCGCGAGCTGCATCGTGTAAGCCAGGTGTTACGCTTTGGAGCTGGAAGCTGCGGGGTGGAACCATCTCTTGTACAGTCGAGCCGGATTAGTAGGTCGACCCTGCCAAATCAAGGGTACCCTTGTGTCTTGTGCCTCGCGACCCATGCTTCCACATTCATATGGCAATGTGGCCCTCGGGCGAGACTTGTGTCCCCTCGCGTTTCCTCTTCAATCCACCCCGACTGTAAACAGTACTGTGCAGTGCACGCGGTGCGCCTGCGCGGTGCAAGCTACGGGGTGAAAGCTGCGCCGTGCGAGCCCAAGAGCGTGTGGCGCCGACGAGGCGCCCAAGCCAGGCGGCGGTTCATGGTCCCCCTCTTGCGGCCGTCTTGGGGCCCTCTTTTGGGCCGTCTTGGGCGCCTCCAGGGCCGTCTTGGGGCCCTCTCGGGCCGTCTGGGGGCTAGCTTGGGGGCCTCTCGGACACGGGCGGCGACGCGGCGCAGCCTCGGCAGATCCCCCCCCCCCTTCCGCGCGAGCAGGGCCGCCGCGAGGCGCCCAGGCCAGGCGGCACGGGTGGCGGCGCGGTGCAACCTCGGCGTGCCCGACGCGCGCGCGGCGCGCCCGGGAGCGGGCACAATGGGCGGCGGCGTGGCGCAGCCCTCGGCATGAGCCCTCCAGCGCACGGGGCGCCCACGAGGCGGCGCGGATGGCAGCGCCGCGCAACTGGAGCGTGCTCCCTCGGGGGTGGACAGACCTCCCACCCTGACACGTCGATCAAGGAGTTGGCCGTCGTCGGTTCGCGAGAGGGCGTCGCGGCCGTCATTTCTGCGGGTCCAGGTCCGTCGGTTTCGGTCCCAGGCCGTGTTCACTACGGGGAGGTCTACTGACGGAAGGCTTGTCCAGCGCCGACTCCCCAAGCTGAGGGCGCCCGGGCGGCGCCACGGGGCGCAAATCGTGGCGAAAGCCCAGAACGCAGACCAGTGTCTTCCACGAGCACGGGGGAAATCATCAGATCTCCGCGCGGAGGTCGGACAGTCCTCTAATCAGAGCGTGAATTACCTACCCCGCTTTCGCTTCCAGGCAAAACCAAGTCATACCACGCGCCTCCCCGTTAAGAGGCCTGACCAGTACAGGCCGCAGTTTGGCATCGCTTGGTATCTCTTGGAAGCAAGGGTGGTAAAAAGCGAGATATGTTTGTTTGCACCCTATCTAAACAGTGCTTGTACTGAGACAGACATTCGCACTTGCGTTCTAAGGTAGCTGGGGCCCCGGTGCCGTCCTGGCCGCCTCGTCGCCGCCCGTCGCCGCCGTCGCCTTTGGGCCCCAGTGCAAGTCCGGCCGTTCCCTCGCCGCCGTCGCTCGCTCTGCGTGGGTAGGTTTGCTATGTTTGCTCCTCCTCCTCCTCCTCCTCCTCCTCCTCGTCTCACTCCTCCTCCCTCCTCCTCCTCCTCCTCCTCCCTCCTCCCTCCTCCCTCCTCCCTCCTCCTCCTCCTCCTCCCATCCCTCCTCCTCCTCCTCCTCCCTCCCTCCTCCTCTTCCTCCTCCTCCTCCTCCTCCTCCTCCTTCGCCCCCGGCATGGCACTGCTTCGCATGGCGTTGCTGTGCTCTGCTGTTTTGGGCCATGCTCTGTTGTACGCACTGCATTGCTCTGCCATGCGTTGCCTCGCTGTGTCTTGCATCGCCTTGCACTGCAGTATTTCGTATTGGCCATTATTGTGTTGCATTGATCACCCTTCTTTGCATTGCTGTGCATCGCGTGGCATTGCTCTGCATTGCGTTGCACTGCCTTGCATGGCTTAGCATTGCTTTGGATTGCGTTCATGTGCGCTGCATTGCTTTGCATCGATTTACATTGTGTTGCATTGTTGCGTACTGTATTCCTTTGCATCTCATTGCATTGGTTTGAATTGCTTTGCATTGCTTTGTCTTGATTTGCATTGCTTTACATTGTTTGCAAGTGTCTCGCATTGTGTTGTATTGCTTTGTACTGTTTTGTGCTGCGTTGCATTACTCTGCATTGTCTTGCATTGCTTTTCATATTGCGTTGTTTTGTTTGGCATTGCGTGACGCTGCTTGGCTTTCTTCGGGTTGCCTTGCATTGTGTTGTACTGCGTTTCAGTGCTTTGCATTACTCTGCATGGCTTTACATCTCGTTGCACCGCATGGCATTGCTTTACGTAGTTCTGCATTGCGTTGCATTGCTTTGCGTCACATCGATTCACCACATGGATTGCACCACCTAGGTTGCACCACAGTGACTGCACCACTCAGATTGCACCGCATAGACTGCAAGATCTCACTGGTTGGGGTCCACGGTGGTTAGCATGCCATGTATGCAGTTGTTGTTGTAACCTCTTTGTACATGGGGTGGCAGGATCGCGCCTCATGGCTGATGCATCGGCGATGTGGCTCGATATGGAACCCGATCCTCTCCACGCCGACAGCGCCTATGCATTGCCGACGTCGCCGACGATACATCGAGGACGTATCGGCGATGCTGCATGATTTGTCGACCCCATCTGCTCGGACCCCATCTGGGAGGCTTCCAACGTTGCCCTCGAAAAGCAAAACTATACAAACACCTTTTCGGTGGTCCGCGCAAATGTCAAGGGTCAGCGCTGGAACCTCCTGCGCGCGCTGAGCGCGCGGGGAGGCATCCAGCGAAGACTCGCGAAATTCACGCAGAACCTCGCCAGGCTATGCTTTTGCTGGTTTGAGAGACTCGACCCCGTCAGCGACGGACCGAAGCGACCGTATTTCTCCAGATGCGGAAGGGAAGGCAGTCCAAGAGTGCGACCTTCTCCTGGGAACTCCCAAGGCACCCCGACGGAATTCTATCGGTCTCGGTCGTTATCGTTCTCCGGCTGGCGGCTCGGGGACTTGCGCTGCGCCTTGTCTCCAATAAGCCCATAAACATGAACTTTCGGAACTCCACGCGGATTTCTTGGATCGGCGCTGGGGTCCCCTGGCGGCGCTTCCGGCCCCACCCCTGCATCGCGCCGCTCGCCAGGGGGTGGTCCCGCGCCGATCCGAGGAAGCCGCGCGGAGTTCCGACAGTCTATGCCTGTGCCGTTATTTTTGTTATTCTTCCTCTGTCAGCACCTCGGGGCACGAGGATACAAGGATGCGCCCGCGTCGACCTCGGCGCCCGCAACTGTCTGCCGCTGCTTCGTTCGGCGTGGGGGCGGGCGTAAGGGCGTGCGTGAGGACGGGTCTCGCGTGCCCGTGGTGCTCTTCCCCGTCGTTATCATTGAGGGTACAACATTCCAGGGGCATTGAGGATTTCCAGTTTCGGCGTCCGTCTCGCTATCGGGGGTCTGTCGCCGATTCTGGGTCAGCGGCGCCCCCCCCCCCCGAGCTGGCGCCCCCCCTAGTTGGCCTGTGTAAGTCGCCAAGTGCGCGACGAAGGTGCCGCTGCCAGGTCGGAGGAGATTGCGGGTGTGCCTTCCGCAGAGAGCTCCGACGGAGGAGACAGTGCTTGCGTCCGCTGCTGCCCTCCTCTCCGCAGCGGCGAGCACCATCCCCCTCTCGGGCATGCGGCGGCCTGCAGCGTGGACCTCAGGACAGAGCTGTGGCGCCCCTTTCTCGTGCCCCCCCCGCGGTCTCTTCCCCGAATCCTCGCCTCGCCTCGCCTCGCCTCGCCTCGCTTCTTCGCTGCTCGGGCCCTCGTCGGCCCCAGCTCTTCGCCCGCGTGTGCGGCGCTGCTGCCTGGTGGCCAGCGCCTGATTCTCTAGCCCACGCCCCAGTGTAGATCTCCCCTTCGTCTTTGCTATAGGGGATCGACCACAGAATGGATCTTGACTCCAAGACTGATCCTCCCGCCGAAGACGCAAGAGCCGCGTGGACGTTTCCTGGACCTGCGAGACATTGTACAGTGAGCGGCTTGAGTAAGGAACACATACTTTTCAAAAGGGGCTCGGTCGTTCCTTAGGCTTGCATGCGTTATTTCCAGCTCCTTATGCGTTATTTGTTCTTTATCGTTCCTTATGCGTTATTCCTTGGGATAAACAGGGGCGTCGTTCCTTATTTATCGTCCCTTAGGTCAGGCCGATGACTGTAGGGGATCGGCTACAGACTTGATCTCTACTCCAAAACTGATCCTCCCGCCGAAGACGCAAGAGCCGCGTGGACGTTTCCTGGACCTGCCAGACATTGTACAGTGGAGACCCATGCCAAGAAACACCTTGCTTGCCTCCAGGGTGCCCTGGGTTTCTTGGGTTTCGGTGGCTTTGCCATGGAAGGCGTGGCGTTCCCACATCAAACATCGATGGGCGCCCTGGGGTCTCAAGGTTGGGTTTCTTGTAAAGGGTTTCTTGTGGTCGGGCCCCCACTGTACGTATGTGTGTTCGCAGCTTCGCTGGGGAGAGATCGCTTCTGGGGTCAAATCCATTCTCGTAGTCGATCCCCCGCTCGGCGCGCCCCAGGTGCAGCGCATGGACCACATCATGGAGCAGTGGAAGGACCGCAGGGAGAGGAGGCGCCCGGGGGGGCCACCACGGCGCCGCGGGCGCGGCCCGCCCGAGGCCTCGGGCGGGACCCGACGGCGACGGCGGCGCACGACGCCAGACGACGACGACGACGCACGGCGCCGGACGACGACGACCTCGGCCCCGACGACGACGCTGCGGCGGCGTGCCCCGAGGGCCCTCCGAGGGCCCTCCCTCTGGAGGCCTCCCGTGCCTCTTGGGGGGCGGCGTTCTGACTTGCCCCCCCCCCCCCCCTTCCACCGCAGGCGGGGCCTCCTCCGGGATTCCCGCCGGCGACCCGCGCGAGGGCGAAAAGTGTAAGACATTCCCGTGTTGCGAATGTGTATGTGTGTATATATATATATATGTGTGTATGCGTGACTGGTTTGTGTTGTGTGTTTGTGCTTGTTTATTTGTTTGTTTGTTTATGTGTTTGGTTGTGTTGTTTGTGTGTGTGTGTTTGTTGGTATGGTTGTTTGTTTGTTTGTTTGTTTGTTTGTTTGTTTGGTTGTTTGTTTGTGTGTGTGTGTGTGTGTGTGTTTGTTGATTTGTTTGGTTGTTTGGTTGTTTGTTTTGTGTGTGTGTGTGTGTTTGTTTGTTTGTTTGTTTGTTTGTTTGTTTGTTTGTTTGTTTGTTTGTTCGTGTGTGTTTGTTTGTTTGTTTGTTTGTTTGTTCGTTCGTGTGTGTTTGTTTGTTTGTTTGTTTGTGTGCTTGTGTGTTTTGTGTGTATGTGCGTGTGTGTGTTTGCTTTTCCCTCCAGGAAAGCTAAAGGAACGGGATGATGTCAGGTCCAGCGGCGCGTTCGCTCGGGGTTGGCGGCGGCACCCTGTCCCCAGACATCCGACGATGTGATTATCTGCCGATGCATAGCTCTGGAGGTCCCGACCCTCCTCCCAGGCCCAGTTTCTCGCGCGGAGCCCACTTTCTTCATCGCCCTCCTGGGGCCCCAACGCGGGCCCCATGGGGGCCCAACAGGGGACAATAGAAAAACGCCCCGATCCAACAAAAACAGATCGGAAGAGGAGGAGGAGGAGGAGGAGCAGGAGGAGGAGGAGGAGGAGGAGGAGGAGGAGGGTAGGAGGGGGACGGGAAGGAGGAGGAGGAGGAGATCTTCTTCGATCCTGGAAGAGCTCTGCCCTCCGGCCGCGCATTCTGTTCCGGGGCGGCGCGGCGGCGTCCTGCCCGTCTCTGCGCCGGGGCGGCGACGGCGGCTCGGCCCGCATGCGGCGGCGGTCGCGGCGGCAGCCCGCTCCTGGCTCGGGCCGCGGCGCGCAGGTGCTCGGGCGCCGGTGCGTCGGCGCTGAAGCACAGGGCGTGCCCCGAGGCGGAGGACCCCCCCCCCTCCCGCTGCGCCCCTGCGGCCCCGGTGCGAGGCTGCTGACCGAGGGTCCCAGAGATCTCGGGGCAGTGAGTGGTTTGCACGGGGCTCGCTTCCTTCGCATCCTTCGTTTGGGAAGCCGACCTTGGGCCCCAGTGGGCGGTGCCCAAAGATGTGTGTGTGTATATATATATATGTGCGTAGATGGTGTAACACACGCGGATCTGTCGATCCACCGCCCCCTGAGGCCCAATGCATCGTGTCCCCTGGCGGTGCATATGGACAGATCCTCGCTTCGCATCTTCTCTTGTCGGATTGGCAGCAGGTGCACGCTAGTTGGGATGAGGCGGATGCGGCAGTGCATGTGATGCAACGCTTCTGCGCACGATGGGGCTGTTCTGCAGAAAATCCATTTCGAGGGCGGTAGACCTCGCACGCAGAGCACCAGACATGCTGTTGCTCGGATCGCCTTACCCAGGCTGAGCCGAGGACCTGTTTGTTCGAAGCCGGGCGTGTTTCCTCGACTTAGTCCCTGGGGGCCGCTTATAAGAATTGTTCCGCCCCAGGGAAGCGGTCGGGATTTGTGAGGCCGTGGATGGAAAAAACAGATCGGTGGATGGTTGGGTTCTGGTCGATCGCAATCGCCTTGGAGGTGCCGCTGCTGGCGTCCCGAGAGAACGCGACGGGCTCGACCAGATCCGGGGCCCCGGAGGCGCCTGAAGCCTTTACATTCCAACTCCGACGTTGAGAGTCCATGCCCGCTCGCAGATGCACCGCATGGGGGAACGATGTCCCATAGGACCCCAGGAAGCAGTGGGATGTACGGGTGTTCTCGGGCCCCGGGGAGCCCCAGGATATCCGCATCCATGGCGTCCTGGGATCCTCGGGCATTGGTTCCCCAAGCAGCACATACAGTCGAGGCACTGAGAAAGGAACCCTTTTCGTTGTGGAGTGGCTCCGTGTTCCTTCATTGTTTCGCAGCTTGCCTTAGATGTTCCTTAGGTTTTCGATACGAAATCGAAGTTTAACTTATGGAAAATAGGGGCCTCGTTCCTTATTTAGGGTTCCTTGGGTCAACGCCTCAACTGTACACTCAGGCCTCGGTTCGGTGGCGGTTGACCTGGCAGTGGGCATGGCAGCGCGGGACAGGGCGAGGCTGCCAGTGCGAAGGGGCGCAGTGTCCACAGGTGGCCTGCCGAGGCAGGGGGCCGGGCCAGCTGCTGCTCTTGTGCTTCGGTCCGGCAGCCAGTGCCGAGGACGTCGTCCCCTGCTCGGGGCCTGCCGAAGCGCGAGGAGGACGAGGAGGAGGAGGACGAGGAGGAGGAGGAGGAGGAGGAGGAGGAGAAGAAAAAGGACAAGAGGAGGAGGAGGGGAGAGAAGGAAGGGGAGGAGAAGAAAGAGAATGAGGAAGAGGAGAAGCAAGAGGAGGACGAGGAGGAGGAGGAGGAGGAGGAGGAGGAGCAGAACCGCGCGCGCGCGGGAGCTCTTTCAGCACGGTGTGCGGTCGGGGGCCAAGGCTCTGCTGCTCTGCGTGCGCGCGCGGGCAGCAGCCGACAAGCCTGGATTGGCCGCCCACCCCCCAGAGTGCCCCGCGCGCTCGTCTCGTCTCGGGGGCCGCCGCCCGCCCGCCCCCCGCGGCCGTCCTGCCCGCCTCCTCCCCCGAGACGTGCGCGCGGGCGAGCGCAACGGCCCGGCAGGGGCGCCTCCCCGCGGTCGCGGCGACCCCCACCCCTCCCCAGGAGGTCCGCTCGGATGTCTCGGATCCGCGCTGGGTCCCCCCCGGCGGCGCCTCCGGCGGCGCCCCTGGCGCGCTCCGCGCGCCAGGGAGGGGGGTCCAGCGCCGATCCGAGAAATCCGCGCGGACCTCCGAGTTTTCTCGTGTTTGGCCCATTACTCCCTTGTGCGGCGTGGGCGCCCCCGTGGGCGCCCCCGTGGGCCCCCCGCGCGCTGGAGGGGCGGTCTCGCCTGCCGCGGCCGGCCGGCGCCCCCGTGGGCTCTCGGCCCCCCGTCGTTGGGAGGGGCGCACTCGGGGAGCCGGGAGGGGAGCAGAGCAGGTCGACGCCGCGCCGCCGTGGCGGCCCCGTGAGCGTGTGGCTCCCTCGGTCTCGTCCCGAGGCCCTCCCTGTTGCTGGTGCAGCAGTGGCGCGCCCAGGGGTTCCCCGCGGGGTCGTGCTACTGATTTAGGGGGAGAAGAAGTGGCATGAACATAACCACTCGGAGGTCTGCGCGGATTTCTCGGATCGGCGCTGGGCCCCCCTCCCTGGCGCGCGGAGCGCGCCAGGGGCGACGCCGGAGGCGCCGCTGGGGGGCCCCAGCGCCGATCCGAGAAGTCCGCGCGGACCTCAGAGTTTTTATGTCTATGCCACTTTTTGTTCCCCTATGATTGTGCTTCTGAGGAAGAGCTGCCCCACGCGGGTCGCGGTGAGCCCAGGAGTCCGACGATGTGTTATTCTCCGTGCGCGGTTCCAGCCTCCCCGAGGCCAGCACTTCTCCCAGATTCGTGATACAGCCCCGTGCTGGGTCCAGCCTCCCCGGGGCTGTCCCCGTCAATGGCCCCCTTTGTCTCATACACCCCGCGTCTCGATGTGTTCGATCGGCGACGAGCGAGGGGGGGACGTGAAAAGGAGACGGCCTTCTCAGAAGGTTCGGAAGTCCCCCAGCCTTTGAGAAGTTTTTTGGAGCCTCCCCCGAAGACAAACGTACCTCTCAGAAGGAGGAAGGGCTCCTGAGAAGTCCCGCCGCCTTCTGAGAGGGCCTTCTCCTTCTCACTTCCCCCCCCTCGCTCGCCGCCGATTCGAGACGCAGGCCCCCCACCTCTCGACCACTCCCCCGGCACCGGCGCCTCGTCCCGAGTTGTGTTTTTTCCATGGGCGCGTGTCTATATACGTCCTTGGGCTCCCTGGCACTCTTCCCCCCGTGGGTCGGGTATAGCCAGGACCCCGGGTAAGGGGACCCGGTTAGTGGTAGGGCCCTGGGGCCCTTCAATTGGCCAGGTTCATTAAACCAGGTCTGCCGCAGCTGGTGTTTCTCGGGGGACGGAGGTTCCGGTTAGTGGGGATGGGACGGGGGGGCGCCCCCCGTCCAGAGCACTAAACCAGGTTCCACTAAACCCAGTTCTGCCAACGCCCGATCTATCTATATATATATATATATATTTGTATATATATATATACATATGTGTATGTATGTATGTATGTATGTATGTATGTATTTATGTATTTATTTATTTATGTATGTATTTATTTATTTATTTAATTATTTATTGATTGATACGTCCTTTTGCGGCTTCCCTGGCACTCTTCCCCCGTGGGGCTCCCCGCTGGGCGCTCGCCGCCGAGAGGAGCACTCCTTCGTCCTGCGGACGCCCCAGAAGGCCGACGAGCAGCTCCCCGGGCGGCCCGAGGGGCCGGCGCGGGCGCGCCCTGGCGCGCTCGCGGGCGGCGAGGAGCGCGAGGAGCCCACCACGATCGTGATGCTGACGCCCCAGGGCAACGTCCTGCAGGGGGAGCCCATGCATCGGTCGAGCAAGGCGGGATGGGGGGCGCAGGAGGCTTCCTCCTCCTCCTCCTCCTCCTCCTCCTCCTCCTCCGTCCTCCTCCCTCCTCTCCCCTCCTCCTGCTCTCCTCCCCTCCCTCCCTCCTCCTCCTCCTCCCTCCTCCTCCTCCTCCTCCTCCTCCTCCTCCTCCTCTCCTCCCTCCCTTCCTCCTCCTCCTCCTCCTCCTCCTCCTCCTCCTCCTCCTCCTCCTCCTCCTCCTCCTCCTCCTCCTCTCGCGACGACGACTCCCCCCCTATGAGCGTACGGGCTTCCTATCGGGGGCTCATCGGCGATGCATCGCCGATTCCTGTTCGATGTTCCCCCCCCTGAACCGATCCCCTGGTTGTCTTTCGGCTCATAGCTCGGGCCTCTGGCTGCCCCTCGGGACATTCCCGGCACCCCTAGAACGCTCTCAGCGACACGCAGCCGCCGGAAGGCATCCCGAGCCCAGAAAGCCGCCGAGACCCCACCAAAACGCTCGAACACCTCAAGCCTCGAACCTCGAAACTTCCTACAGTTACAGCGCAGGTAACGGTGAGCGGCTTTCCAAGCTTACCCTTGCACCCTTCCCCTGTGGCTCATCCTCAGCCGCTCTCGCTGGCCGCACCCCGCTCGAAAAGTCTCGGCATGGCCCTGCAGGGCCCGTGCATGTTGATCGTGCCTCCTGACTATACAGCCAAGACGCGGAAATAAGGGACAGTTTGGATTCGGAAGGGGCTCGATGTTCCCTACGTCCTTCCGTGGTTGTTCCTCTAGCTCTTCTCGTGCACCCTGGCTCTTTGGAAGCCACAGAGGGGCCTCGTTCCTTATTTAGCGCTCCTTCCTTCAGCAGCCCAACTGCACACGTTGACTGTGCCTTTCGCCCTCTTGCCGTTGTCCCCAGCGTGAAGTCGGGCCTGTCCCCCTACAGGGGGAAAATTCACAGACAGTCAAGACATAGTCTGGGGGGACCATTGTTTGGACCATGCTTGACACTGTCATGGCATTTTGGGGGGGATTTTTCATTGTTCGTCCAAGATCGGCCTGCGGCGGTCCTGGGACCCGCCGCAGGGGTCCAGGAGCCCCCGGAAGCGGCCCCTTCCCCCAAGGCCCGTTTCTTTTGGAGCTCGGTCCTCAGAACGCTTCGGTCCTCGACTCTGGGCCTCGTGGATGGGGTCGGAGTAGACGGGGTCGAAGGATCTCGCCGCATCGCCGATGCATCGCCAGTGGGGCTCGATGTGGAGCCCGATTTTCTCTACGCCGACGTCGCCGATGCTCGCCGGCGTCGTGGGGACAGGCCCGACTTAACCCCAGCGTTGCCCCTCGCCCGAGCGGCGCCTCGCGGGGCTGCAGCCGCAGAGGCGCGCGGGCCCCCCCCCCGGCGGCCTGCCTGCGCGCACAGAGCAGCGGAGAGCCCCGGGTCTCCCGCGGAGCGGTGCTGTGGGTGCGGGGGTGCTGTGCTGGTTTCCGTGATTATCCTCCTCCTCCTCCTCCTCCTCCTCCTCCTCCTCCTCCTCTTGATCCTCCTCCTCCTCCTCCTCCTCCTCCTCCTCCTCCCCCTCCTCCTCTTGATCCTCCTCCTCCTCCTCCTCTTGCTTCTCCGCCTCCTCTTTTTCCTCCTCGATCCTTCTCCTCCTCCTCCTCCTCCTCCCTCCTCCTCCTCCTCCTCCTCCTCCTCCAGGCCTTGGTAAGTCCCTCCACTGAGGGCATTCTGTCTATTCTACCCGCGCTCCAGGATCACTGTTGCGCCAGGTGGTGCGCTCCTCCTCCTCCTCCTCCTCCTCCTCCTCCTCCTGGATCTCGGCCCCTGGAGCCAGCTACAATCGGGCCGAGGTACTGGATCGAGGTCGGCTCGGGGAGGGTATACCCTCGTGTTCTTCGTGTCTGTTGGGTATACCCTCGTGCTCTTTGTGTCTGTTGGATGCTCTTGTGCATCCTGGGGAGGGTACCCTCGGACTTGTTAGAGCCGTTTCTGACTTTGTCGGCCTCTACGAGGCTGCTCGTGGCGGTCGGAAGCAGAGAGCCCAAGCCCCCGACGACATGTATGATGTTTTATCTGCGGGCGTTGTTGTTCTTTGATTTCGGCCCCTGGGGCCGGATATGTCGGGCCCAAGGAACGCCGATACCATATGTTGTTCGTGCGTATGGCCGCGATCCATTTCGGCTTGTTCGTGCGTATGGGCGCGTTCTGGCGGACGGTCAAGTAGGATTTTGCCGACGCGGTTTCCGCTTGCACTGCGAGATTCTTGGGATCGATGTTCTTTGCGTCATTCCGTGGTTATTTTTTTAGCGTTCCTCGTCCACGCAGGCGCTACTGCTGCCACAAAGGAACGTCGTTCCTTTTCTAGCGTTTCTTATTGCAGCAGCCCGACCGTAAGATGTTGTGTATGCGGGCGTTTTTGTTCCTTGATTTCGGCCCTACGGCCTGCTGTCGGGCCCCAGGACCACCGATGCCAGATGCTGGTGCTCGTCCTCGAGAGCCATCGTCGCCACCGCCTGATTCTCGTGGAGGTTCTGGTCAGGAGGCGACCCCAGAGAGGTCCGTGGACTGCTTGCGGACGCAGTCCTGGAGCGTTAAAGATGTGTGTGGATCTCAATCGCATGGTTTGTTGTTTTTATGTGTTATGGCTCTGGGGGCCTGGTGTCGGTCCTCGGGACCATCAAACAATATTGTGGATCGAAAAAACTACCCCCAGGGAAGCGGTCGGAACCTGGCGATCCTCGTAATTATTTCTTTCTTCGAAGAGTCCTCTGGAGCCCTTACAGAGCAGAAGCTGTCTGGGGAAAGTCACATCCTCAGAGGCCTGGGTGCACCCAGCGCGTCTGCACGCCTCGGGGTGCGCTCCGGCAGCTGCCGCCCTCTGCGGGGAGCGCCGGCCGCCCCGGATAGCCTGCCTCGGGAATGCCTGGCATCGCTCGGACGTGTGCATTTTTTTCTCGGCGAGAACCGTCGAGGAGCATCCTGGATCACTTGGCGAGAAAAGGCCACGCACGAAACCACGACAAAAACACAGGGAGTGGACGTCCGAGCGATGGCGAGGGCAAGCAAGCCGCGCCGTCGGAGGCCCGGGGTGCCCACAGTGTGGCCCCCGCCGCGCGCCTCGGGGCGCCGCAGCGGCGCGGCGCGACCTCTCCTGCGGGGAGCGCGCCCCGCAGCGCACGGCGGCCGCCGGGGGGCCCCCCCAGAGAGGAGCCGCCGAGGGCAAGCCAAGCCGGAGCGTCGGAGGCCCCTGGGCGCCCAGGGCAGCTCCACGCCGCGGGCGGCGTGCCACGGCAGCGGCGCCCTCGGCGCGCGCCCCGCGGGGGGGATGGTGCCAAGCCGGAGCGTGCGCCCCCAGGGAGGCGGCCGCGGGAGGCCCGAGCTGTGCGCGGGTGGCCCTCGGCGGCGAGCGGCCCCCTCGGCGCCGAGGGCCCCTGCGAGGATTGCGGGCCCGCCCCGCGCGAGGGGCGCTCACCGCAGGGGGGCGCAGCTGCCGGAGCCGGCAGCGCGCAGAAGGGGGGGTAGGGGGATGGGGGGGAAGGCTTCTCAGGAGCACCCCCTGCTTCTTGGAAGGCGCGGGCCTTCTCTATAGCCGTCAGGCCAGGGCCCTCTGAGAAGCAGGGGTGCTTCTAAGAGGCCTTCCCCCCTCCCCCTCCCCCCTGTTGCGCGCCGCCAGTGGAGCGCACCCCGAGGCGCGCAGATGCGCCGGGGGCGCCCAGGCCGCCGACGACGTGGCTCTTCCCTGGGCAGCTTCTGCTCTCTAGAGTGCCGTATTTCATACATGCTCCGCGTGCGGATCGTGTGTTAAACATGCAGGGATGTAGTATTAAGAACGAGGATGAGTTCATGCACGAATTTATTCATAAATCAGTCATGTGGTAGAAATCCAATATTTTTAAACACAAAAACCTATTTGTTAAAAAACTGCTCTCGAAGGGTTCCAGAGGCTTCTTCGAAGGAGGCGAGCAGTGACGGGGGATCGCTGGGTGCCGACCGCATCCCCGCAGGGGGTCGGCCTTCGCTCGTGTGTTGCGGCGGCCCCGAGGCCCGACAAAAAGGGCCCCGAGCGTCGCAGGACAAAGCAAAAATGCGATTGAGATCCACACCTCTCCAGCGCGATCCTCCCCCCTCCTCCTCCCCTTCTTCCTCCTCCCCCTCCTCCTCCTCGTCCTCCTCCTCGTCCTCCTCCTCCTCCTGCTCCTCCTCCTCCTCCTGCGCGATCTGGGACTGATTCCGCCCGCAAACACTCCATGCAGGAAAGGGAACAGCACGCAGACACAGTGCATCGTCGAGTTCCCAGAAAGACGTGGGGGGGAAGACCTTAAAACCCAGAAAGTACGGGAAACTGTAGGGGATCCTGTTATGTGCGTCTATTTATTTGTGTGTCCCAGTTCCGCTTCATCCATGGGCCTCTCTGGGCTGGCACTCTGACCAGAACCTCCACGGGACTCCAGCGGTGGCGACGGGGGCCCTCGAGGACGAGCAGCCCCTCCGCTTCGAGGGCCCCTGGTGGGGCCTGCCTGGCGCCCTGTTTTTGTTTGTTCGTTTCGCAGGGTTGGCGTCGAACCTCCCGGCGCGTCCCTGGGGTGCCTGGCCTCCCCCCGCTGCGCGCAGGGTCGACGTGGCAAAGCAGTGTTGAGTCGGGCCTGTCCCCCTACAGGGGGAATCTTCAAACATAGTCCAAACATAGTCTGGGGGCTATTATTGGAGTATTCGTTGACCATGTCGGAGTATTTCTCTAACATTTTTATGTTTCGTCGAAAATCCCCTTGTAGGGGGACGCGCCCGACTTAAAAGTTGTGCTGCATCACGCGAAAGTCATCGGGGGCGGCAGCGAGGGGGGCGGCAGGAAAATCAGTGCGGAGCGCCAAGAGTTTATGTTGATGCCGCTTTTTCTTGTTCGAGAGGCCGGACACCTGCCGAAAATCGTCCATCGTCATTTTGTTCACAGTTCGAGGGTGTCTGGGCGAGGGGGGGTCCCCAAGATTGCTGCGCACGCGGGACAAACGGGACCCGTCCGATTGCCGAGCTGGTC